GAGTTAAAATAAGTAGTCTATACAGCAGATAACAAGAAGCTTTGTAAAAAAAATTTGAAATTTCTAACATTTCCATACTTGCAAGCATCCAGAAAGAAATCAAACTAATTTTGTGCAATGAAAAAAAATACAAAAAAATTCATTATGAGTTAGAAAAAACCTTGTTGGATTATTATCACTAAATTCGCGAATGGTATCTGTTGCTTGTCCAATCTTGACGATTTCTTCCATTTCTTTGTCCGATATTTGTGGTGATGGTAAAATAAGTTTTGAACGTTTCTTTTCAACCTTCTGTTCAAAAATTGATTCAGGATTACCCTCAGCCCTATAAAATTAACAGTTTCGGTGTTATTCTCTATCTAGCAATTCGATTTATCCGGAGTATTCTATTATTCCTATTGTGAATCTTTAAAGAGTAACTTGGCAATGTAAATTCACGGCTCCATATATTTTGTATCAGCAGTTAATATATTACACTGCCACTGCTTAGTTCAAGTTATGAAGCAGAAAAAAAGTGTATATATGCTAATATATTCCAAATCATGCGAAATTTTTTGAAATCATGTTCCATTAAGCTATAGTGAAATCTAATCAATATCACTTCTGTAATAAGATGCATAAATTAAGTTCTGACACTACCACCTTCTCTTTTTTAACTTCTCGCGGTCCTTCTTACGTTCCTCATTTTCGATATCATCACGCCGAACACCTTCAATTTCGGCTCGAGTCTGTTTCTTGAATGTCGTGTCTTTTTCAAATTTATCTTCTGCTGGATCGTAAAATCCCGGTGGTACAGGTTTTTCAAATGGAATCTGAAACAGATCAATCTAGATTCTACAATTTATAGAGAAAAAATCATTAAACAAATCTGAGAATAAAAAAAGGAAAACTTTTACACAAATCGGGAAATATATTGTAGCCTGGAAATATATAGAAGAAACAAGCATAATTTTATAGATATAACGGGGAAAAAGATTTCTGAAAGAAACCTCTGCACTATAATCAAGATACAAAGGATTTCTGCGCTGAAATTTATGTTGTCCCCATGGAATACCAGCAGCACGCAATTCACGTCGTTTCTGCAGCGAAGCAAGACGACGAGCTTCTGAAAGCTGTTTTTCGCGCGCCTTACGTTTTGCCTAAAACAAATGCTACGATTAGACTTTAACTAATACCACTAATTAAGGTTCTAATTTAACAGTCCTGCAAAACACAATTTAATTGGAAATATCGTGAATGTAAAGAAACATAAGCATCTCGATTAACCTGTCAAGATAATGTAAAAACAATTGTTGAAATACTAAAGTACTTTAAATGAGGATGCCAACCTTTTTGCCCTGTGTGTTCGCTAATCTTGCACGAGCCTCAGAAAGCATTTCAAGCTCATCTTCATCCATATCAATTGGATCAGGTCTTGCTGGTTTCGTTTCAGGTGTTGGGTCTATTTCACCTGGCCTTAATTTCCTAGCATCATTCAGATCCTCACTTTCATCCATTTGTTCTGCCTTTTTCTGTGCCTGAAACCATACTAGTAACTGTTTCCCAAGCAATAATTCATGTTTCTTTCAAAAAAATGATATCTTTAAAATGGAGAAAGAGGAGAGGAATCGCATATACTTTTTCAATAGTTTCGTTTTACGTCTGACGTTTTGTTCTATTGTATTACTGACTCAATAATAATGCAGGCTGAAATCGTTCAAAGAATTAAAAACGCTTTTCCGCGCACCTCATCCAGTAAATACTCGTAGCGTTCCAAACACTGAGCAGCTGTTCGCCCAACTATTGGTGCAATTGTTCGCCACTGTGTTGGCATAAGTTTTGCCAAATGTAATAATTTTTCGTCTTCCGTTCGTGACCATTCTGTTTTTTTAATCCCAGGATCCAACCATTCGTACCAGCGAGCCTGGAAAAGCAATGGATATCATAATTATGAATATGAGAATACCAGCTCTCAATGAAGGAAGTAAATGGAGGAAGGTTGAGCTGGCATGACCGTTCTCAGAGATAGCAGCATCCAGTAGCTTTGTAATATCAATCATATCTGTTTTAAATCTAAATTACAAATAATTTCTTGAAAAGATCAGGTACAAACCTTGCACTGCTTTGCCGATTTCCTATGCAAAAGCGATGCTATACGACTCCATTGATTCTTTCCATATTTCATAATAGCAGCTTTAAGGATTTCATCCTTAAAAAGAAAAAAATTGAAGAAATTATAAGCAACCAAACAGTTATTTGAGGCATTTGTTAGTTTTTAGAATGCAGTCTTTATTTTACTAATTTGCTAAATGAATGCTGTCATTAAAATATGCTACTTGCAAAAATCATATAACGATATTTAAACATTACAAAAAAATTTGAACAAATAATTTTAAGCAAATTTTAGACGTATAATCGCTTTCGATGCTCTTTAGGAAATTAATATTTATATAATATCAGACTATTAAGAATGGACAAAATATACCTCCGTATTCCTCCATACACCACCTTTAATGATAACGCGAACCATCTTCCTTTTTTCTTTGAGTTAACAAAAATTTTCAAACTGCAATTAAAGTCATATCCAATTAATTTGCATGTAGTGAGTAAAACACATATATAGTAGATCCTATATAATAGCAGCATAGTGTAAACAAAAAATAGGTAAATTACTGTAAATTATACTTTTACAATTACAGACAATTGTCAGTATAAGATTTTTCTGGAACAATTCTATATAAATAATTATTAGATTTAGAAGACTATTAAAAGATAATCATATATCACAGGTTAGATTATCAAAAGAATCATATATCAGGTTAAGTTATCAAAATCATATATAACAGATTAGATTATCAAAAGATAATCATATATCAGAGGTTAAAAAAGTAAGATTATATTAGTTAATGAATGGCCGTACAGTCTATAGAATTCACGCTAAGAGAAAAAACAACAGCTAACATAAGAAAAGGAGGCGCAAATGTCAAACGACCGATGAACACGTTAATATTGGACAGCTTTTAACATAACCGTCTGTAAGTTATTAAATTACTTGATCCGTTATGAAAATTTCCATCCCATCTCATAGATTTTGTTCCAGAATATAGTTTGACTAAACTATGGGATCTATTCGATTGGATCAGTCTACTATATACTGCATTTTGCAGTAGTATTACTTTCCATGTGCTTTCTTCCTTCCACATTTACTAAATTAAAAATATTGAAACAATCAAATTATCAGTATTACCGAAGTTATTAATACTGGCTCCTTCATAGTTCAAATGGATTTAAGCACTGATTAAGGCAAACAATTTTATTCATCACATCGTATTAAATTCCAAAGGACTGATTCTGTAATACATATAGTAAAATATGCGAAACTTGCAACAGGAATCATTAATAGCTAATAAATTGTATCTTTCTTATAGCTAAAGATGAAAAATATTTTTGATATTTAAAAAGGTGTGTTTTTCATTACAGAATAGCAATTTATTTTTATTTGCAACAGCAATTTTAGTTTTTTTTAATGCATGGATTATTTATGCAATCCAGTACTTTATATAGCTTTATATGAAAATATATCGTAGTGAAAAACCACAAGGCATTCTGTTCGAGTTTTACTATGAAAATTTCTAACACAAATTATTTCCTACCTCAAAAAACTTTGACTTCAAAGGGAGCTTTTACCTGAAATATGAATGATATAACACGCATTCAATTTACAATAAAACCATCATAATGTAACAAATATTACGCAAACAGCAAAGGAAAAAGATTCCAGAAAGAAAAAAGAAACGATGACGGATTAAATGGAATGATTAGGCAGTCACAGTATTGAATATGTTGAGCAAACACTTGAGAAGTGAAACATTGAAAGGAAAAAAGTGACTGTGTGTCAATGAAATTGTAAATGAGAATTCTTACAAAAATTTGTACCGAGTGTAACGACTGAAAAGAACTGTTTTATACTTCTAGCGGAGAGCATTAAAATATATTTAAATAGACCAACATCAAGATGTAAAAGTTCATTCTAAAATTTGATAAAATTCCAAATTATGTCAGAACTACCAACAATAATTGTACGATAACGACGGGTATTTAGACTATAAAAATTTTTTCAAACATATATCAGTATTATTCTTTTTGTATCATTTGGCAAGAAATTTAACATAGTTGAATTCCTGAAGTATTTATATATTCCGAGTATCCAAATAATCTATTTGAAATCTTGATCTTAAAAACTGATAACTTCCTATATTCATCCATTAAAGCATTTTATGAAAGGCTCAACAAACTGAAAGATAAGGAGCAATTTGTTAGCCGAATGCCCGGATAACCGGTGAAAGACGGAACCAAGCTGTATCAGAATCACTGACTGCGACAACATCCTCGATGCAAAAGTGTTTTAGAATAAACTGCAATAAGTGGATTTTTCGTCGTACTAACACTTCATCTTTCGGTAATTCAAAACCATCACTACAATAACAACAATTTCACTTAGCTTATGAAATCGCTTTAATTGCTTTCTTTAATTTCAAAAAAAAAAAACACCACGATAATATTTTCACTTACTCATTTTCGACAAGTTCTTCCGGAAATTTAAGAGCAGAAGTTCCACGTACCAAAATGAAAACACGCGTATTTTGAGTAATATTTCGCGTAGTGCTTAAATTTGAACTTACTACCAATGATGATGATATCCTACGTTGTTCCCTAAAAATTGCTGCCATTCGAACTGCAGATTAAAACATTTTGTAACATAACGCAATAATTAAGAAATTGGCACTTCGAACCATTTCTGAAGACTTATAAAACCTTTACTTAACTAATAGTTATATTCGTTATATAACAATGTAAGTGAAATTAACCTGGGAGACAATTCAGCACAATTATCACCACAATGTGAAAAATCTGATTCAGATGAATCACATACTTTAATAGGTATTCGGTAAATTTCCTGTGGCAACGCACGTGATGCACCAATAATTATAATAACTTCATGAAGTGCACGACGATTACGGCTGCAGAATAATTCTTTCAATGCCTCTCTAATCTGTAGAAATTAAAACAATTTTACTTTTGATCAGATGAAAATATATTAATTTCAAATGAAACTACATAAACTCTACATGAAGTAACATCAAGTTCTTTCTAGGTTTGCGTGAGCTTGGTTTACATATGTTTAAGCTAACAGTTTGGCAAACATTTTGGATTTGACTTTATCTTTGGCGACTTTTTGATTTTAGATATGCCTCACCTCGTTTCATTATGGTTCCATTTTTGTTAAAGTCATTCCTACTTCGTATTATTTAGCCTTTCTTCTAATTTTGATTCTTAACGTCCCGTACTTAGTACCGCAAAGACAAAAATCATGATGAATTGAAATATGAAGTACACTTCTAAGTAATAGATGTATGCTCAATCCTTTAAAAAAAAAATACTCTTTTTTTGTTTAAAGGGAAATGGATGAAGTAAGAATTCACTAGGAAAAACATCAAAACCAATTTTTTTCCAGTTAAATATATAAATCAAAAACAAAAAAACTCTTCCTTTCAAACATATAAAACAAAAAACCTTCGTATATGTTTCAACAAATTTAATTTCATTTTGTGATTCAGTGATTGAAAGCAATTGAGATACAATAGCTGGTATGATGCCACGTTGATAGAGTAATAACTGCAAAACAGTATCAACAGCTTGCAATTGAGCATGGATACACAGACATCGACCTACTTCTATTCGTTCACTAATCATTATAGCTTCTAGCAAATAAAGCTTCCTGAAATGCAAAAATCAAAAATCAAAGTATACAAAAATCAAACACTTATGTTTCATTGTCACATTAATTTTCACCAAATTCGGCAAACTGTTATATTTGATATTTGGTTATCACAAAAATGATTTAATGTTAATCTACTTAAATATTACTTCCAATTTCGTTTTTTTTTTTCAAGATTTGGACTCTGCGCAATATCTGATATGATGCAACAATGAAATGATGCTATATACTGTCAGTATATTATAAACTCTTCATGCAAATCATAAAAGATGCTTCCAATTAAACCAAAGCACAAATTTTTTGTTCGCATTGTTTCAATAAATTCTGGAAGTTTGAAGTAAAACAAGCATCTCGTGTTATTTTAACCCATACCGAATTTAATCACTGGAATAACAGTAGAATATGGACAGTATTCCATGTAATGTTATGCACGTAACTAAATCTGCGTGCCGAATATCAATTAATATTGGCCAAAAGACTGCACTGATAGTGAAAAATTCGGCTGCTAATTTGCTACGATAATTTGATAGAATAATACTTTTTCTCATGATCCCTCCATCTCTTTTCTCCACGAAATTAAATTCAAACAGTAATGGGATAAAAATGATAAGGTATAAATTGAAATTGATGTTGTAACTTAAATATCAAAATTGTCTGGAAAGCAAAAAAAAGAAAAGACGCAGAAAAAGTAATGTTTTAAAAACAATTCATTGAGATCAAATTATCAATCAGTCAACACACTGATAAGTTAATCGATAAAAACACCGTACAAGCAATATCTTAATCACTTTGATTTGAGCTCTGCAATAAACCGTTCGTATTCGGCTAGCTTTTCTGCATCTCTTCGACGTTTTCTTCGCTGTTGTTTATCAACTGTTCTTGACTGTTCTCTTTTGCGATTCTTGGCTTTGGCATTATCATTCTTTATTTCAACCACCTAAGAAAACAAAACAAGGAAGAATAGAATTTATCTACGGACAAAATACGATATATCACCATATTGCAAATATTATTTCCAAAAAATCACTTCTTTCTGATACCGATTTCGCAAGTGCAGTAAAATTTGTCAAAAATCATATCTATGACAGAATTCCGATTCAAGATGAAAATAAGTTTTTAGGAATAACATCAAAATTTGCACGAAATTATGATTTATGTGAAATCATTACAATATCTAGTTTTTGAAGCACTAAGATTCAGTTTCTCTACTCGAAATTAAAATCCAGGAAAACTTACCTCAACCGATGGACTTCGTTCCAAATTTTTTAAGCCATTTAATGCACGTATATCATCTTTTATGGTTAGACTTTTCTCATATTTCGCTTTTGCTTCATCCTTTTTACCAGCTTCTTCTAATCTGAAGTGTAAAAAAAGAAAAAAAAGAGAAAAAATTAATTCAATGGCTGGTAATCTGACAAAGAATACTAAAACACTACATATCCCCAAATTATAAATCACGAAGCCAAGTTAATTTTTTGAAAACTAAATTGCCAATTGTTAAACAAACAAAATGCTGCAGGTAGATTTTATTCCAAATCAATAAAAATTTCATTCATGAATGATACAGAACCAAAAACATAAACAGATGAATCTATTTTTTTTCATTCTCCGCATCATTTTTTATTGTTTTACTTCCACTGTCATTTTTTTAAAAATCTCTTATTTTTTACAAGCCGATTTCTACGGCAAACATGGCAATTACGCATTATCTACGTGAAATTAATTCTAGTTAATACCTTTTAGCTTCTTGTAATAATGTTTCGATCATATAATTTCTTGCATTCATATGGGATGCATTTATAGCCAAAGCTGCATCTAAGTCTGTTTCTGCCAAATTATAATGTCCCATATTGGCATATCTAAACTGTATGAAATTAATTTCAATTATCGATTCCATTTAGCTCAATTATATAAACAAATTTTACACCAACTGAACAAAATTGGAAATATTCGATATTTATCGAAAATAGAAGAATTTTTACTCTTGCAATTATTTCTTAGAAATGAAATATAATTAGAAATATTTAAAATAAACAACATACGCAGCTGCTCTGCCAACTAGTGCTTCAATATTTTTTTCATAAATAGTAAGTGCTTTGTTGAAATGTTGCACAGCAACAGCATTGTCACCTCCTCGAATCTTATCGACACCTCTTTTGGCAACACTCATGGAAAGATCTTCATTCTGCTTATGACGGATGTAAGGAGCACGATATTTTGATGAAAAATCCGTATCTGAAGTTTTAGATTTGAACACTATGCATTTCCATCACTTGTTTTTGTTTTTTGCTTTTTTATACTCTCCAAAAATTTCATATATGAAAGAATTCGAAAAATCAATTTTCTTTTACATACACTCTAATGTGCTCTTTTCAATCGTAAATTATCTGAAACTATGCTGTTGGAAAAGATATACTTATTTATTCAACTGTTTATTTATTTGTTAAAAAAAAAAACCTTTTAAGTCATGCAAAAACGAAATGGGTAAGTCAGTCTCTATACCAAAAAGTGTTCCGAGATTAGGATTAGTGGCTGGCAGATAGTCTTTGAGATATTCATCAAAAGTTTTCGTACCAATTTCTTCACCATTCCTTTAAACAATTTTTGGTTTAAAATCAAAACTTCCCAAATCTTAACATTTATCCAGATCACTTCTATTTTAGAGGTTAAAACTAGAATAAAAATAATTCGATAGAATCAACCGGCAAATATTTCTCGTAAAAAATCAATAAATTACATTACTAAAAATTATATTAAAAAATCAACCCATTTAAAAGAACTTTTAATCACATGGTGGTTTCCTGAACTTTTAGCAAGAATTCCGGACAATGATATCATTTAACTATTGCCACTAATACTGCAATAATTGCCAAGTTTTATAAGATCAAAATTTCAATAGAACTCTACAAACGAATGAAATTCAGCTAACCTGAAGTAGGTCGGCAATTCAGCTTCCGTCAAAAGACCCTCAATTGAAAAGAAAAATCAATAAATTGAAGGTATAAACAGAGAAATAAGTCCACATTCAAATTATTTCTGAGAAATATTTCACTTTCAACTATATCCACTTGTAATATATACATTTATGACGAAGAAATGGAAAAACTGGCAATGAAATGCTTACCGCATCTTCATCTATGGCAAAGACTGGAATTTTCGTTTCTTCGTTAAGGCCAACTACCAAAACTGCAAAATAATGCAATTAAATGAGCAATCAAATATAATGGGATTTAAAACAAACCTTTGATCAAATCGTTCGCTCGGTAATCATGTCCACTTTGTAGATTTCTTTCCAATAAAATCTACAATGAAACCAAAAAAGTATTACGAATTTTAGAGAAAAATTAAAAAACCTAGCGTACTCTGTTACTTTCAAATGGTTGCTTTCCAGCTGAGACTATTTTAGTGCTCTGGAATAGCCTAATTTGATGTCACTTATTGATCCAGATAAGCTATGTAGTACGCATTGTAGTAAGTCCATTAGTAAATATAATATCAAATGCTCATTAAAATAAATTTATCACAAAAAACTCACCTGAAAATCGTTAATCCACTTCAAACTTCGTCTAAATGAATGTAATGTACAGATAGGCTCAACATAGACACCGGCTAACTCGACACGCCGGATTCGGCAGCACAATTCATCACCAATCTAAAATCCAAAAATATGCTTGAAAATGTTGCTCATAAAACTCTTGGATGATATGAGATTAATTAAATATTGCCAATATGTTAACGGTATATTGTATCCATTGGATTCATCTCATGCTCCAGAAATTTTTTAGAATATATTAATTGAGACTTGAAATGCGAGGTTCCTATAAAATATATTTCCAAATAAAGATTATAAAAATGGTTACTTACTCCTTTAATACTTTAAAAACTTTCTGAAAATAAAATAAAATCACTGAATACTACATACGGTTAATCTATTAGTAGATGATTCATGCGTTGCAACCTATTGATACACAATTCAGTTGCTAAGACGTAAAATTAAATTATTTCAAATAATACTCACCCGTAAATCATTGTACAACTTTTTCTTTGCATCCAAACTACTAATCTCCGTTGCAAAACATTCAAAAACCGGAAAAGCATCACTTCTGACATTTAAAATTGTAGAATCTTTATTCAGAAGCCTTTCTATACCATTTTCGGGTAAAAAATTCCCACACTTCACATCTAAATCATCCTCTTTCGATTGACCACCGAATCCATTTGTATGATCACTTGCTCGATTACGATAATTATGACTTGATAAATGACGTCGATGTCGTCTATTAGTTGCGCTTGATGATAGTGACATTTAGACCAATGTATTAATAAAAATCTGAAAAAAAATGATTATTTTAAGCTTCAATCTAGTAAAATTAAATTAGTTATAGACGTATAATCGAAAAAAAAAAAACAGCAAGAATCTATTGGATAGCATTGCCTCTGAATAAAAAATTCTTTACATATAAACCATAAAATCCATTTCAATATATCTCTCTCACGTGAACAAGAGTGATACAATTACGAATTTTTATCTTGGCAAAAATATATTTACTTAAAACCCAGATAAACTTCGAATCTCGAACTTATTGTTTGACTAATGGAATTGTTGAGTAGAGACTTGACTGAGTGAAAATGATGATGTGGCAATCAGAAAATGTTTAGTTATCGATAGTATGATTAACATCCCATTCGTAATAACAATGAGCGTTTACATATATTAGTGTCGTCATATTATAAAAACACACATACTAATGTCGAGAAAATATTTTTCAATCACTTTTACCATTTTGTTAAAGAAATTGCAGCACTATACTGTCTTAAATCAGAAAGCTAATATTTACTTCAGAAAGCTAATATTGAGCCAAATATGCATTTTAGATATTCAGAAAAAATATCTGCACCTAATCTTCTTTAGTGAATAAACTCTATGTGTCAACAATTCTCAAATTTTAACTTCTTTTAATATCTCTCAGTTAACTGGCTATCGTTTGTTCTCATCTATCTCATTTGTGATTGTATGAAAAAAACTTTTCTACAGATCTTTTCCAACCTGTCTGCTGCAAAACCTAGAATTCTGAAATTTGAATACAGACGATAATGAATTGCATGTAGGAAAAATGGTACAAATAATTGCAAATAATGCAAATAGATAGTAAACAGTAAAGTAAGAGAAAGCAAATAAAGCTTTTATGTATCACGATGATTATTTCTGTTTTTGTAATGATCCTTTTATTGAAATACATGTTTATACAAACAAATAAAAATTGAAAGGAAGGTAAATAGTCAATAAGCGAATATATAAACTTATAAAGCTAAAAAATTCTCAAAGATGCATTCGCGAATAAGTGAATTTATAAGAATGACAAATGTATGGCAATGTAGTAATGCATAGTAAGAAGACCGTGTTGCATCGAAATATGAAAAATAGAAAAAAGCAGTTAGCATAGCTGAGTAAAATATGAATATAACATGAAAATTAAATTTGTCTAAGAAATAATTTATAAAGACAATCAAAAGATAGTTTACAGATATAACAAAATAAATAAAAATAACCAATCGAATGGATGATTTTTCAAAAAGGGTGGAAGCTGTAATTTCAAATAAGTTTATGAATTGTTCATTTCACATGGAGCTAATTGCTATACGATTTAATTGTGATTAAAATTGAAAAAAACATAAACTTCATCAGTTTAACAACAAATATTTTCATACCGAACATTATTGTCGGAAATCCAAAAATTTCTTATACTAGTTGAGCACAGAAAAAAACACCTGATCTACGATAATGAGCAAACAATATAAAGGAAAATCAAATACGAAATTTTAAATTTATGAGACTATAATTGTCAACAATCAAATTATTAAAATATATCATACCTGCGAAAAAATGGAACTATTAAATAAAAACCATTCACACATCAAAAAAGATGAAATGAAAGACGAGATGAAGCGAGCATAACAATCAAGCAGTAAACAGTATGCATGCATCGTTCACAATCACACGTAAACTTTTCTCTCCTCTCAAAGAAAGAGAAAATTAAACAGCATTGCATAATTTTGTTTAAACAATGAGAGGCACGAGAACATTTTGCATAAAGAGCCATGTTTCAAAGCATATGATTACATTATCATTCTCGTAGTTCAAATAATTTATGAAAGAACTTTGCTAAAATTAAATAAATAAATACTACTTTTAAAATACCATCGGAATCATTAAAACTATAGTAGGTTGAAGCTATCTTTCCTGTACATCGTCTTCATATATTTCACGACAACCTTCAACATGAAATATTGATAGAGCATTGAACAAGAGATAGCTGCCATAGATTGTTTTCTCTTTTATTGTCCAGTTTTTCGCAGGACCATAATAATCACCTCTTCTGATATTCGTCAAATTTCGGAGACCTGGTTAATTTCAATTTACAACATAATAATTTAAACTCATAAAGCTATAAAAACTCAACATTTAAAAAAACTTAGTATTTAAACCTAAGTTTTTCAGATCATATAATATAATCGTCTAGTTAAAGCAAAAAACATGTTCTCAATTTTTCATTTAATTACAAAGACACTCATTTTGCAGTTGCTCGCTGTAATCCGTTGAAGAATGATATAGCTATAAAGAACATTTTGACTGACTCCTTTTCCAGACGAGATATATTCCATAGGAGTGTAGAGATTTTATTACTCGCAAAGACAACTGTGATGTATCTTTTAGAAAAAAAGCCATAGCCCACTTGAAATATTTAATCAAATTTGTATGGAACAAGTAATTCAACTAACTACGTCATACCAAAGGATGTGACAATGTGTTGAAAATCTATGAACAAATTTACCGATAGCATCGATCATCGCCGCCTCCCTTGTAAATGCTTCCATGGGAATTGTATTCTGGAAAACGTGTAACGACACAATACCATAACCAGCGTCCCAAAGGTCAACTATTTTTTGTAGTTTTTTACTTTTCTAAAATTAATAATTCTATGCACTCTTTATTCTGCAATTCAAAAAAAAAGAAAAAATCATTGGACCGTGAAAAAATTCCAGAGACTAGCTTTGGGTTACTAGATGATTTAATGATCCGATAAAAATTAGGCAAATGTGGTAGCGCTTCAGCCAATATTGTTACATTTAGAATATGTAACAAACATCTAACAACTAAGCTGTGAAACGATTTCATTCTAATTCTTTGGTCAGAAAGTAAACTGTTTATGACATAGACTAACAGTAAATTATTTCTCTTACCGATAGAACACCATCGCCAAAACTTTTGGCTCGGACAGCATCCACCAAATGTTGGAAAGGACGGGAACGTTTCCCCTTACCAATATAAAATATAGAATTAACAAATTGTTGCATTGTACAGCTATTGCTAGGAAGACTAATAACGGAAGGATCTGAAAAGTAAAATATGATCTGATAATAGAAGGATTTGAATAGTGCAATATGATTTTCTACAAATCAAAGCGGTAACAACTCTAATGAAAAAAACTGGATATTAATATAGCAAAACGTACTAATTTAACCAATCTTATACGCGAATTTTTGGAAAAAATGTAGCTAACTAAATGATTCTCGAGTTGAAACAATTTTTATCAACATATTTCAATGATATCCTTTCTGCAAAACTCACCGATCAAAATATAACAAAACGAAGTAGGTCTATTGCCACCTCTCCACTGTTCACCGGAAAATTCAGCAAAACTACTTATAAGAATTTGATCAAGTTTCGGACCTTCAGAAAATGAGTTACCCGCTATCCAACGTTCAAGTGCCCAACTGTATTCTGCAAAGAAAAAGCGATTTCACAGATTCTTGGAATTAAAAAATTGCAAACAAAATCTCCGCTGTTTCGAAGATACATGTTTATAAATATCTAATACAAACAATTACTTAATTCTGAAGCATTGGAAGGTAAATTTGCAATCAAACGTGCCAGCTTTAACTCATATGCCGGACGCGTAGTTTCAAGCAATGGTCCGATACATTCGCCCCTGAAATCGTTAATTCTTTGTAATTTTTCCTCATATGACCGCACATAATTTAATAATAAAATCGACGGATAAATCTCAGAAAAAGCTACAAATTTAGGGATTCTGAAATCATCCTCACACCAAGGTTCATTAATCTTTTTTAATTTTCAGCTGCAGTTCGACCAAAAAATAAAGCACATTATTAGCTTAATGAAATGAAATCTTAAAAAAACAAAAATTTAGAGTTAATTATTTACCTTTTGGCTAGTTCCTGTTTTAACTGTCTATCCGATAATTGACGCACTACTGATAAAATTTCCGCTGGTATCTTTATACTTGAAGCTAGAATGAGAATTGTAACTGCAGTGATAGAATAGTTTGCAAACTGCAGGATAAATTAAGCAAAGATTATTTTATAATAATTCTGAAATTATTCCTTCTAGAACATCGAATTCTAAATTTATTTTTAAAATTTTCAGATACAATATGAAATGTGATTTGAAAAAAAAAATCAAAAGAAAAAATATACTTTCAACAGGAGATTCTTCAGTCATCTGATCATTAGCCTGAGATGGGGTTGAACCAAGTTTTAATGATTGAAATTCCTCGGATAAAACATAAGATAAGGCATTAATCGAATTTCGGCCATAAGACGAGCTATGATAGTCTTTAGTATTATATTCAGGAGCTGTAGCGTATATCGTATTATCATCACTTTCACGTTTAGATGATTTCGCAGTGAACGAAGTGAATTGTTGCGATGAGAGCGAAAGAGCAGATGTTTGCTCGGATGATTTTTTCCCTTCAAAACTAAAATTAGTAAATCATCCCACAATTTACTTATACTAGTCAATACAGCATTTCCAAAAAATAATTTGAATTTCTGGACATTTTTTAGCGTTTAGTTGAAGAACAGTACTTCCAATTACGTAGATGGTATCAATGCAATAAAATATTTCATCATACAATTAAATTTGAAAAAGATGAAAACAGTTTAATAATGTACCAAATATCTTAAATAAGTTAATCTGTATCTGTTCAGTCTCTGCAACAGCCGACAATTAAAAAAATATGTTATGTCACATCATTTTAGTTTTGAGTAAAATGCTTTTTCATGACTCCCCTCCCTCTCCCCCTAATTTGAATTTCTTAGAGCTATAATGCAATAGATTCAGCTAAATGATAGATGTTATCTTGTTTAGATCAACAAAGAAATTTAAGAAAAAATCGACGTGGATCTACTGACAACACAGATCCATTATTGTTTCTGAAACAAAACTGGCTATTTTCTAACCTTACTTCGGAAACAGTTCAAAAATTTACAGCAGAAAAGTAATTAATGGACAGAAATTTAAAAATCTTACAACTTAATACCATCAGTGAAAGATATTTCGTTTATCGACGTATTTTTTTCTGCTTCAATGCAATCAAATATATCTCACCGACTGGAGAGAACTGTTTGTTTTTCCCAGCTTTACGACCAAAGAAACTTGATTGGTTCTTCCGAAAAGCCCATTGTAACCGCTTTTCCTCCTCTGACAAGAAATTGTTTGTCCCATCATAAAAAGGTGACCATGAATGCGATCTACTTAGCTGCAGCGGTGTTTTGATAGCTTTCTTAGTTGCACACGAAAACAGTCGATTTAGAGCGTGCAAAAATGATTGTTGCACAGATCGGCTTTTTTCAGAAGTTTCGGCTTCGTAGAGACGTTCAAAAAATTTTTTCACTGAACCTTTTGCCATATCTTTTGCTGTTCTATAAGGCAAGAAAACTATATATTCAGAAGTAACTCGGAAAACTAAAAATTGAAGTAAAAAGTTCGTTGAACAAAAAACAATATTTCCCCTACATTTGTGAAGTCTTTAAAAAAGCTTCGCTAAATTGTCACTTTCTTCTTGATAACAAAAAATTTTCGAAACTAAATATTTCCTCTCTATGCAACCATCCAAGCATGATAACCCACAATCTATGAGAGTTCTCAAAAATGAAATGTTTTGTAGTCAACAACCGCATCCTGTCGTTAAAAAATGAATTAATGCATGATAATAACAAAAAGCTCAATATATGTTGTTAAATTTTAAGAACTGCAAGTTAGATTTTAAAAAAGGAAAGGAAGTTTTTCTTCCTTGCAAATTCGAAAACAAAAAAAAAATCTTTCCAAACAAAAAAAAAGAATTTGCAAATTCCACTGTCTATAAAAGATTAAGAAAGAGGATATAAGAAAAGTTATATCTTAGAATTTATTTACCAGCTTAATTTTATAGCAAAATTTTGGAATTTTATATGCAATTAAATGTCAGAAAAATCAATGTGAAGCTCGATAAAAATTGAATTACCTTCCGTTATCATCTTTCTGGAAAGGATCGGCACCAAAATACATCAGTAACTGACACATTGCCAAATTATCCCATGCAGCAGCTACATGTAATGCCGTCAGTCCTTCCTCTTCACGTTCGTCGACATGTTTCTGACCTGTTTTCAGCAAATTTTGTACCGCATTCAAAGCTGTTGGATTATTACTTGCTGCCAGCAAATGAAGTACATTTATTTGGGGCATTAATGCTTATCACCTATAAAACTTTAAAAAATTTTGTCCTTAAATTTAAATGTTCAGCAAATTGTAGGAGGTTTCTGAAACTACGATTATAATATGACTACGATTTTAAGACCATGATTTAAAAAAAAGACACAATGATTATAATTTCTAAACAATAACTTCCCTCTTTCGTTATAAATATATTAAAGAAAATATGTTAAAAACGTCCCCATCCAAAATACTCTAAATTTCTGGCTGTAGAGGAAACAAGAAATCGTTAAGACCTATTTTAAAGTTGCTATTATTTACATTTGTGTAGTGGTACCAAATTTGACATAATTTCTCATGATATTTGACAAATGGTTTAAAAACCGATAAATAAATATGCCAATCTGAATTTAAATCCAGAATTGTTAGGCGCGAATAATTAATCAATAAAATATGAAAGTCTGTAGCATCGTCAGCTGAATTCTTTTGAAAATGACTGAATTCTTTTGAAAATGTGAAACCTTCAAAGTTTCTAGAAACTAATTGAAAAGTTACTATTATCCAACATTACTGTGAATTGACGTTATGAACCATCGAACAAATGTGCCTAAACATCACGAAATAATAGCGTAAGCGTAAATCACGTGAAACCTTAAAAAGTCCTCGAAACCTTGGAAGCCTCCCCATGTGTAGCAGCTCTATAGGGTTCACGCTGATGTTTGCAATCGTCCTTTAGCAGATATACGTCAAATCTATCCGTCTCTGTAGTTCTTTTACGTTAGAGTATGACCTTTGATATGATCTTTTATCTGGAGTATGACGTGTTCTTCTTCTTTTTTCTGCTCTCTGTTAGCTTAACTTACGATTATACGTGATCCTTAATTTCGTATGATGACAGCAACCTTAAATTAAGAAAAACTGATTCATGGCCCGGAATAAGAAATAAGTCTATGACGAAATAAGTTTTGTGCCAAAGTTGAAGCATGATTGATTTTTTTTAATATTAA